GACATGGTAGGGGGAGTAGGTCTCCTGATTTTTTTTTTTTTTGCACTTTTGGGGTTAGATGAAGGAGGTCCAACACCCTGTAGTCCACAACGTGCGCTCGCACCTCCCGGGCCGCGTTCAATTTTTTCGCGCCACGTGGCGCGCAGTGCGTTTGAACACGATTGAACGCGGCCCTCAGGGGTATGGACGCGCGCGTTTGAATGTGAACGCACGTTCAGCGCGTTCAGCCGGTTACGTAGCTGCGTGAGGAAAGGGGGGAAAGCGATTTCATAATCGTAGGATGTATCTTTCGCCTTCTTAGTGAAAGATTCATTCTCGTTCTGTACAGTTGAAGAGGGGCTGCGTGGCTGTTGTGTGAGATGGGGGTGTGACGGCGAGTCTTTCCGCAGGGGAGTCCTTCATACGGTTACAGGATTTCATGAAGGGAACGGTCGAGGATAAAAGTTAGTGAGCTCGACCATTCCACGGTCGTCTGGGGGACAACGCGCCTGCGCAGGCAAGGGAACAGATTGGGCGAGTCTGTGGGAAGTGGCAAATTAGTGAGTAGGTTAGTAAGTTAGGAGTTCGGGAGAAAAACTCTTGCGGGAGATGGCGGACAGAGGTAGAAGGAGCGGGGCTCAAAGAGATCAGATCTTGCCCGTTTCTCGACGGAAATGGGCAAGGGAAGGTTCATTCTTGAGTGCCCTGGCCAAGGCGACGAGAGTAGTAGAGGTAGTTTAACCGGTCGATTAGTAAGGTAAGAAGTACTAAGAGATCGGGCTGCGTGCCTGAAGGGAAAAACGGTTTTGTAAATCGCAATGAATACTTCCGCATTTTTGCGGAAGATTCATTTCGGTCTTCTCCTATCGTAACGAACGAGGACTTTTGAAAAGGGAATTTGACGGCAAGATTGAATACTCACCTAGTGGTCGGTGTGGTGCTTTTCTCGACGATGGAAGCAGCCTCATTTCAACTAGCCTCCGCTTGTTTTAGTGAGATTTTCATTCTCATACTGTACATTCACCGAGTACTGAGGCTAAGCCCGTATCCACGATCGGAACAAGTTGGGGCACCGAGCAGTAGAACTCGCCCTCATGGACACATCGGCGCTGCTCAGGTCATCTGCAACAATGAGGATTGGAAGACTTACCCGGTAGGGGGGCAGCTCGGTTCGGTATGCCTGTGGTGCCTGTGAGAAGCAATGAACGTTTGTCGGAGTGACTTTCTGGCTCAGTGAGTGATGGGGACCGACGGTCCGCAGGGTCTAACCGTGATGCGAGTTGCTCAGCCGCTGACTTGTTCCGTGTCGACTGTGGGGGGGCGCCGTCGATTGAGCCCCACTGCTGCACTGGTGACTGGGGTCCGCGTGCGTCGCATAAGGGCTCTATAGACTGATGTATGCACTGTGCGGTGTGGCCCGCCTGCTGGTGCGATTTTGGGCTTCGCTGCCTCACTGCCGAGCTACTGATCCTACCGACGAAGGTAGTGTTGGGGAGGCCGTGAGTACAGGGACATGTTTGTCGAGAGTGAGGGGACCCGCACAGTTTATGACTTACCTGCGTGCCGTCGCATTGTCTTGTGTGGCGAAGAAGTAGCATCAGCACGGGTATGGCCGGGGATGGAGTCTTACTGATTGCAGTTGAAGGCGCGTTTGATAGTACTCCGGCCGGCTGGTACAGATACTGTGCCTAGTAGGAAGGAAGGGAGCTGCAGGCTGCAGGCTTATCTGTTGAGAGTGTGCGGAGCAGCCAGGGGGTGTTTTGGAAGCCTTGTACGTTGTGTCACGAGTTCTGTGGTGGAATCTGAGTTGTCAAGTGAGAGGGTTATTGTCGCGAGTCTGGGAATTCGTCAGGAAAATCGACAATTGGTGGTGGACTGCAGTTGACTGAGTGGAACTGCGTTTTGCGGGGTGTTGTCACGCATTGGCGACGCTCCAATAAAGTGTGAAGGAGGAGAGCTCTAGCGCGTGGCGATAGTATTGTTTGATATCAAAGTAATGGGACTAGGTGGTACGAATACGTTTGTGAAAGGGGTGACCGCTGCGACTTGAGGACTCGTCAGAGTGACAATTGTCAACAACTGGATTAGGTGGGATCAAGCTGCTACAGTGGCCACCATTGTGGGGCCCTCAGGCGCATGAAGGTAACAAGGCCCTCTCCTGCGAGTCTGAGTGCACCACTCTTGGATCTGAGAGTCTCAAAACCTTCTCCTTCTGCCCTTCTAACTCTCAGTCTAGTCTTGTGGTTACGAGAGGAAGGCGGCAGGGGGGATTGCAACCCGTAGGACCGCAGCAAGACTCTGTGGGGAGTCCACCCACCGATTGCGGGAGCTCTGCCGGAACTTAGGAGGAGTTCTGGAGGCAGGGAACTGAAAGCTAACCACTGCTTTCCCTCTATAAACCCAGAGTATAACCGTTATCTGTACTACCCACTGCATCTTTGACTGAGTATATGGTGTGAAGCCTTACCTCGATCTTTGCTTGACTTTCAGGACGCTGAACAAGATTAAATAAAAGGACATTTGCCCAATCTCAGTTTCAACTTTATTTGTTGTATGAAATCAGATTGCTGAAAGGAACTGCATCTAGGGATGGCAGGATGGAGGACTGTTCTGATTGAGAGTTTGACTGGGTCATTAAGGTTGGGAAGTCCCCATAAGTTGGGGAGACGTAGTGCTTTATTTATTTTTGTTTTGCATGGAGCGTCAGACCCTTCTATAAGTTTAGGGGGTCTGATTGCTCTGGAGGCTGGGATGTCCCCATAAGTTTGGGGAGACCCGGTGCTGTGAATTGCGTGGAGGGTCAGGACGCTCTATAAGTTTAGGTGAACTGACTGCTCTGACTTGTGAAAGTTTAACTGTGTTTGACTTTCAGGAGCTCAGAGCATTCAATAAGTTTTGGTGGTTTGAGCCGCCTTGGTTTCTGTTGGGTTTTCATCTGTTTCTTTGGTTTCTGAAACGAAGAGGTCTGAGTTATTCTATAAGTTTAGGTGGCTCAGTCTCTTTCTGCTCTTTATTCTGAAGAAATAACCTTGACAAAGGGGCAGATCCTTCTGTAAGTTCTGGGGTCTGATTTGATGCCACACACATGATGAATCAGAGAGAAATGAAATTGGCAGAGAGTTAGACCCTTCTGTAAGTTCAGGGGGTCTGGCTCAAAGCCTCGCACATGGTGGAACCCAATGGTTATAACTTGGCTATACTTTACTATTATTCTATTTAAGAACGAGCTAATCAAACTGTTCTATAAGTTTAGGTGGTCTGACTATAGTTGTATCACAACTTGAAGATAGTATAACTAAGAATAAAACTGGTGGTAAACTAGGGCAGACTAAGCTTAAATTAGTTCAGTCATATGCAGCCTTAGAAGACAAAGGTGGAGACAAGTATACATAACTTGGATACTTTAAACAGTTCATGGCGACTAGAGTGGTCTAGTCATGTGCCCAAAGAAGAGAAAAGTAGTTGTGCCCTCTGTTCGTGTATACTTGGCCAAGTCAGAACGCTCTATAAGTTTAGGTGTTCTGACTCTAGGCCTGGCTAAGTTGGGTGCGCTCAGTAAGTTCAGCCGGCCTGACCTATGCCATATGTAAGATGGGTATAAAGGGTTAAATCATTAAAAGACTATGAACTATTGTTTGTCCAGATGAACTTGGAATGGTGAGAGTACTTACCTTTGTGGTTTGGCCTGCATGTGGCTAAGTGAGATGGCTACCTGATCTAAGTTTCAGTTTGATAGGTAGTTGCTTTAGATGTTCGCCACAGGCTAGAGCGATAGAAGTTAGTTTCAATTCCTCTATTTTCTGTGATAACGTTTTTTTACTTAGGTCAATTCTTGCATTTTCTGTGATTTTTTCTTATACTTGGCTTTCTATAAATCTTGGCAGGCTACTTTTTCTACGGGAAGGTTGCCGAAATTTCTACAAATCCAAGGAGTTAGTCAATTTTTGACTTATCAAAGTTTAACTTGTCTTTTCTTTATATCTGACCGAGTAAAAATCTGGAAAGTCTCATTTTCTAAAGGGAGTGCTGCCCAAATTTTTGCTAGTTCTGGGAGTTAGACAAAATTGGACTTTGAGGAGTCAAAGTTACTCTCAAATTCTGAACTTAGCCTTGTATAAATTTTGGAATAACACTTTTCTAAAGGGAGTGCTGCCGAAATTTCTGCAAAACTAAGGAGTTAGTTAAATCTTGTCTAAGTTGAACTTTAATTGCCTTTTGAGTTAGTTAAAT